TGTAGGCAACCCAAGACATGATACGTGTGACTCATGGAGAATGCAACCGCATGATGAAACCGCGCTCACGGGGTGTGCTGAGGCCAATGAAGTAGAGGGCTCGCCCGTTTCGAGAGGCTAGGTGTGCGCAGCCTTTGCGCCTCTGAGAATCAATCGTTGCAGCAGATGTTGCGCCTCTCGAGTCTTGGAGTTTGGCACGCCCAGGAGCAAGGACGCTACTAGGGGCTCCTGGCATCGCTACTAGGAGCAAGAACGCTAGTAGGTTGGAGGCCATCTCTATTGAATGGCACATTGATGCCTTGCCTTTTCCTGGGTTTCGTTAGGTGTGGCGCCATCTCCTACAGATGCCAACGAAGCAGCCAACTGAGAAGTGCCAATTTACAAGTGCTGCCCTCCACATTTTAGCACCTGTCAGGTCTGCCAGCCAGAAGGCAAGAACATACCATGCGAATTTGTACCCCCCTTCAGCATCTCGTCTCGTCATTCTGCAGGACTTGCCGCCACAGTCACGGCGGAGGATCGGATGAAACAGAACGCTACTAGGGGCGTCCTTGTTACTACTAGTGCACTTGTTACTAGAAGCGATGCACTTGTTACTAGTAGCTTCTTGTTACTACTAGTAAGGCACTTGTTACTACTAGTGCACTTGTTACTAGAAGCGATGCACTTGTCACTAGTTTCTTGCTCCGTTCGTAGCGATGCCAGGAGCCCCTAGTAGCGTCTCAAGAGGAAAGCTGTGCTTTTTTTCTTTGTACTTGTCTCATTCTTGTCTCAAGCTGTGCTTTGAATGTGGCTCAGAGGTTCAAGCGGATCTGGATGTTGCAAACACCCTGGTGGTTGTGTACCGAAGGCTGGCAGAGGTTCAGAGACATGGACTTTCTCATACTTGCTCTATGTCTATGCTTGATCATTCACGATGATTTGAGAGCCTCCATGTGGAGAAACGTGTGCGCTGTGTTTAGACCCTGTCAGATGATTGTCGCGCATGACCTTGACACGCAACCTTTTTCGTGACCTGTCGTGCCCGCAGCTTGAGAAAACGATCGTGTCGCCATGGCGGTGATAGAGGCCTTCCGCATTCAACCAGTTTCTGGAGAGGAAGATGACATGAGCCCTCAGAATCCTGGGGCCGACCTCTGCTCCAACACGTCCTACATGGTTCCAGGAGACGTTCTCCATTTCTGTCGGCTTCGGACTGGTGGAAGCCTTATACTTTGGTTTCTATCCAGATCGCACTGGGATGCCAAGCTTCCAGGGAAGGCAGATTTGCCTCTTGGCACTTCCAGTTGGCGACCTGAAAATTAACGATGTTTCTGATGGGCACATCATCAGAGAAGTCGGACACGGGGCAGAGGATGTCCGCAAGGCAGGTAACTTCGCTTGTAAAGCGAAGGAGATCGTGGTGGAGGGCCCCATTAAGCAGGATTGGATTTTAGCAAGAATGGATCTTCAAAAAGCCGTCGAGGAAGTGATGCATTTGGACCGCCAGACAGTGAAAAACCTTGCAGAAAATGCACATTAGTCGCACTTGTTGAAAGTCAAACTGAGGTCAGGCCACACATGTTGTTTCCTGAATCACACATTTTGTTCACGCCAGACCCCTTTTGCAGCCAAGGCCAAAAAGGGAATGGATAGCTTTCACGGGGACCAAAAGCTTCGGGAGGCTGTCAAGCGGCTTGAGGGCCACTTGCGTTCTCGAACTACGAAGATGCCGCCGTATCCTCAAGCGGGTGCACTCTACATCCCTACAGATGATGGCGAATCACCCTTCCAAGAACGTCTTGGTGGCCCTATGTGTTTTCCGTCTTGGCCTCTGCCCCTTGCAACAAGAAACAGGAATTCTTTGGACCTTTAGACATTTCTTTATTGTTTTTGTCTTTGTATATTGCTTCAGAGGCCAAGGCATTTGATTCAAACCTCTACTAGGCCCAAGACCCAATGAATCTGACTTGTGCAGGTTTGAGCTGGAAAGTGCCGGTACAAGACAACAGTTGCCTTTGCCTTACCAGATTCAACGCACGAAAGGCCCAGATTCCGAATCGTCAAACCCAGGGATGCACCAGAATACAACAAATTAGGCGCATCCATAGTACAGAGCCTCATGGCAGAAATGGCGAGGCTGCCGTCAAACAGAGGCGGCGGCACGTCTTCGCTGGAGGTTTGCACCCTGCTTGTGGATAGGAGTTGCTCTCGTTTCTTCGCTGACGTTTTGGTGCAGTGTGAGCAAAAGGCATGTGATGCGCACTCGGACACTTGGACATCACAGCAGCTCCAACCACGAAACTGACTTTGATGCACTGCAGGGGTTTGTTGCAGCAGATGGAAGACTTGGAGATAGAGAAGGCAACTTGGGCTTTGCCGTTCATCCTTTCTGCTTAACATGGATTGCAACTGAATAGACAGGCGACTACCCTATGACAAGGAATCTTCCTGTTGTGATTGTAACAGATTATGAATATTCTTTGCATTCAGTCGGCATCTTCCCAAGGCTTTGCTGGAAAAGCGAGCGATGCGTGAGCTTCAGGATGTGCCAAGTCGGGTCCGCTGGAATGAGGTATGAGTCGGTATGAGGTAAGTCCAAGTCGATCCATGTGTCAAAACCATTCCGCAAACTTACAAGATCAGTTGTGAGAATGTCCTCAAACATATTCGTTGTGTTGCTCTCCTCATCTCTCCATAGATGGATGGCTGCGTGTATTCTGAACGTTTGCCACGAACTGAGCGTCGCCAAGAGGATTTGGAATCCTTGGTAAAGCATCTTGAAGAGGAAAGGCGGAGGCCAGTGATCACAGGGTCGATTGAAAGCCGTAAAAGGCTGACAGTTGCAGGCTTGAACAGATTCATGAGGAGGATCGCGCATGATTACGGCAGGAAAGCTGCGAAGCAAGCAGAGAACAGACTTGCGCCAAAGCCCACAGCCAGAGAGGCACACTCTTGATGGAGAGCAGTCTAGCAAGCGAATCGGACCTAGGAGATCCTGAAACATCGGTTTGTAGGTGTTCTTTTGCACGCTCTCCCCGTCTCTCCTTTAAGTAAGACACTCTAGTTAGCTACTAGACTAAGTTAGCTTCTAGTAGCTGCGTAGCTGGACGCAGGATAGCTCATGCTTCTTCAAGGAAGTTCCCACTCCTGAGGGCGGGGGGAGCTTCCTTGAAGAAGCGCTCACACTATTCAATTGGTTCCTAGATTCTTTATAAGCCTTACGCGAGAACCAGCTTTCGGCACAGATGACAGGAGTCTGAAGTCGCTGGCGATTGGCAAGGACTGAGTCATAAGCTTTTCTGTTCGTTTCTTCGGCAATACTGACAGGCTTCGCCAACCGGCGACGTTCCTGGGGGGACTGCGCGTATCCGCAGGCTCTTTGCACAGCAAAATCCGACGATTAGCACAGCTTCTTACGCCTGCGCATACACACTCCCACACAGGTGTGCGCACGAGGATCTGGTGGAAAAAGCCTGGCAACCTCAGCTTCAGACACTCGTACGCACATGCACACTCGCACACGCACCCGCGCCCGCACGAACGCACGCCCGCACGCCCGCACGCCAGCACGCCCGCACGCAGGCGTGGGTGCGGGGGCGCGGGCACACCCAATGGCCGAAGTTTGAGCCGCCTTTGCGTCCACGAGCCTTGTAAGCACAGATTCAGATAGCTTGAGGCTAGAAATGCTCAAAAAAACCTTTTTTTTTCCCTAGGGAATCAGACAACTCGGGTTGTCAAAAAGCAGGCCATTCTTTAGAGTTCACCATGCATTTTTTAGGGTTCACCATGCATTTTTTAGAGTGGCAGCGGAGTGTGATTCTTTAGAGGTGCTCTTTTTGCCACACGCTCGCATCTTTCAGCCTGGAGATCAATGCCAATGGCATCCAATGGCAATGCCTTTATCAAAAGTGAGCATGTCATAACATCACAATGTTCAATGATGATCACTCTTCAAACATTTTCTTATATATGCTTCATCATCCACCATTGCCATAATCAGAAGGTCGACAATGGTCGACAATCCAAAAACCAATGAAAGCTCATGTCTTTGTGTTTTCTATTGTTTTTGCATGGCTTTGGGGTGAAAATGCACCAGCATGCTATTTCATGGGGCCTATCCCCCTAAAGAATCAGAACCCAGCCACGTGTCCCAGTCTAAAGAATCAGATGGCACGCATGGTCTAAAGAATCAGGCCCAGTGTCCGCTGGTTGGGCAAGGGTGCATCCTGCCACCCCACAAGTTCCCAGGATCCCCCAGGCATTCCCGTATTAGAACCTAAAGTTTCCCGGGGAATCCTAGGGGCACCCTTGCCCATCTGATTCTTTAGACTGGGACACGTGGCTGAGTTCTGATTTTTTAGGGGGATAGGCCCCATGAAATAGCATGCTGGTGCATTTTCACCCCAAAGCCATGCAAAAACAATACAAACGCAAAAAGACATGAGTTTTCACAGGTTTTTGGATCGTCGACCTTCTGTTGGGATTCTGGGAACTTGTGGGGTGGTAGGTGGCTGGGTTCTGATTTTTTAGGGGGATAGGCTCATGATATCCCCCCCAAATGAGGGTAACATGTGGTCTAAAAAATCAGACTCTTCCAGATGAAGATGAAGATTCATGGCAACTTACGATTCTTTACTGGAATATTGTTGCAAAGTGTATTTAGTGCATTTTAGGACTTGATTCTTTAGACATGTACATCCCTTACACAACCAGTTCGAGACACAGAGATTTGATTGTTTAAGGTGTTATACCCGATTGTACTGGGAGCTGGGGTCCGTACAGTCTTTATGGGCGGATTGGCCCTTTCTTAGCCAGATCATGTGGATAGATTTGAAGGGCTGAGCTTCAAATTCAGGCCCAAGCAGTCAACCCTTAGGACAACTTGGTGCCCCAAATCTACTAGGACGTAAGAAAAATTACGTCCTAGTAGTTTTCTTGATTTTTGAGTTCGCACAGATGCGAGTTCTGACAAGTTTGAACATGTTTGAACCTATTTTGTATTGGATGGTAGATTGCCGTGATCATGGACAAACCACTTCGGTTACAATCCTTCAACAGCCATCATCATGGACTGGTACGTGTGTGGAGTGGGTGTTCCCATTCTTTAGAGGGAGTCCAGGTTCCAAAGAGGTGTGTGCACTGTGCTCAACGTGTTCTGATTTTTTAGGGCCAGTGCCCAGTATGTGTTGGCAGAGTCCTGATTCTTTAAGCTACCATGTCGGTATGGGCACTGTGGATCGAGGATTCTTTAAGGTGGCAGCTGGCAGTGGCCACCTGGGTGTGCCTAAAGAGTCAGACAGCCCAAGAGAGAGGCCGACTTGCAAGGGGGATCGTTTTCTTTTTAGCGTTTTCCACTACGAAGAAGCCGTAAAAGCCCAGGTGGTGCTAAAAATGTCGGCCGCAAACCGACAGTTTGAATATGACCAGGACGTATGCATTTACTCGAAAAACGTAAAAGCAGATGGAAAATGATCAAAAATGGCTACTGTAAAGCTTTATCTCTAGAGAAGAAAGTACGCAAAGGGGAGAGGAAGTTTTGAAGTAGCACTTGTGTCGAGCACCATTGGCATCACAGGAGTACGCGCAGCATTGCAATGTTTTGCGCCTAGTCATGCACCAAAGGATTTGCATCTTTCCTGCTGAGACTCTGCTGATGCTAATGATGCTCGACCAAAAATTGTCCTCAAAATTTGTCTCCATTTTCAATGCTTTATTCACCAGACAGTGTGGACATACTTAGGGGTTCTTACGGTAGGTGTTAAGCAGCTGTGCTTAGATCGCTGTGCCGCGCGGCCGTGTCCGCTGCTATTTACAGTGGATTCGTCATGTTTCTCAAAATCCTCGATGTGCATTTCGACTGCGTAGGCTCGCGAAATCTGGGCGGCGGCGGCGAGTGCTTGTTGCGACCTCGCACTCTCACTCTCACACTCTCACCCTCACTCACACCCACTCACTCACTCACTCACTCTCACTCCCACTCTCACTCTCACTCTCAATCTGGAGTTGGCAAGGCCACGGTCCACAGGCTACCGCCCAACCCTGCGGTGCCCCAGGCGCCGCCCCGCCTAGGTGTCAGCTAGGCCGGGGTCGGTGGACATTTCAGCACAGAGCGCAGAGCATGAGAATTGCATATCTTGAGAAACAACAGGGAAGAGCTGACCATCCAAATTGTGGTGTTCTTTGTTATCCGTCCGCAATAGTGTGATTATCACTCGATCCAAGAACTGTTTGCCCATCAACTTCTTACTTGGCTGCGACGTCATTGTGTTCGAAAGTGAACGGCTAAGGAGGACAGTCTTCTCACTTGCATGGGCTTTCACACGACTGCCGCAGGCGAGGATGATCTTCCTCCGGTGGTTCCGGTGGCGGTGCAAAGCGCTTGGTTTGCTGCACAGAAGGTGGGATGGTGAGTGAATGCTGTAATACTTTTAAGGGCTAAGTAAATCCAGCCAAGCTCCTGGTGTATGATGAGCAAGTTTCACGGTGAATGGATTGGATCATTATTCTTTCGCATTCGCTCCACAACATCCTTGCAGTTGGCAATTTTAGGTGGAATTCCATGACATCAGCTCCGATGGTGAAGAGCAAGAAACCCATCAGTTTTGGCCTCATATAATGGTTGGCTTGAGTTGTAAGCATGAGACCGGGAAAGAGAGTGTTTTTGTGATGCAATCCGACGATCTGTTTGCTGAAATCCACTTTTGAGTCCACATCTTTGTTATGAAAAATGTCGTGCGTTTTGCAAATCCGAGGCCACCAGAGACAGACGATGTACAGGAGCATTGAGAGGATGTTCTTTACACTCATCAGCTCCCCCAAATGGTGTCGGTCGCACTGCTCGGTTTCACTTTTGTATTTCGCAGTACCCTGCGGGGCTCCACTACGTCCAGCGCGTGGCAGAGCTTGAAGCGCAGAGTGACGAGCTGAAGCTGTAGCTCGGCTACAGCGCTCAACACACGCAAGCGCACTTGTCAGGGTCAAACTCGCGTTTGACAGCAGAGGTATTGCTCAACTCACCCCCCAAATGCTCTCATTGTTTGCGGCCCCAATGGATTTTGCGCCAGCACAGGGACCGTGGAAAGGAGAGCAGTGCACCTGGCCAACTGTCAGAAAGAAATACGGTGTACAGATTGATTTTATTGTCTAAGGTCCTTTTCAATCCTTTTCATACAAAGCATGCACGAAAGTCGAGCTTCAGGAGACCTCAGAACAATCGATGTATGACGAACACACATGTGCAAAGTACAAGGCCAAGAGCAGACAGGCTTGTGCCTTGCACGGTCGAACTACGCTTTGACCGGCGCAGAACTGAACGGATTGATGGGAGTGCCTGGTCAGTCTAGAGATGCCGCAAGGCTTGCTAAGGCCGGCTGCCCTGGGATTACTGTAGTTGTGGGGCAATGAAGAACCAAACGCATCGAAAAGGACCTTAGAAACTCGCCAAGTCACGACCCAGTCGTCTCGACCATCGCTAGTAGGTTGGAGGCCATCGCTATTAGGTAGGTAGGGGTGCAGAGAGCAACCATGCACTATTTGGTTTAGTAACAGATGCATCGCTACTAGTAAGCAAGGCATTACTAGTAGTAACAAGGGCAGTAGGTTGAACCGATGATTAGAGATCGCTAGTAGGAAAGAAGTTACTAGCAGCAAAGGGCATCGCTACTAGGAGCAAGCACGCTACTAGTAGCTCCTGGCCTTACTAGGAGCAAGGACGCTACTAGGAACAAGTGCATCGCTTCTAGTAACAAGTGCCTTACTAGTAGTAACAAGGACGCTATTAGACATATATAAGGACTAGTAGCTTCTTGTTTCTAATAGCTTCTTGTTACTACTAGTGAGGCACTTGTTACTAGAAGCGATGCACTTGCTACTAGGAGCAAGGACGCTGATGAGTGATTTTGTTTAGTGATCTCCGAGGCGTCTCGAAGAGCTCCATGCCTCAGAAAGTGCACTGCGCCGGGAGAGCCAGGCCGGAGTCTCGGGGAAAACTCGTTTTTTCCGGTGGTCCGAACTGCATTGTCTCTGGTTTTGCCCGGAAAAGGCTCCTTCTTTGCAAAGAACATCCATGGAAAACCTTCTCTGAAATTCCTGATTTGGAAGAAAAGCCAACCAACAGGAGAAGAATGACCTGATCACCGTGCTGCTGCAAAAGGCATCTTGGGATCTTGAAAGCAACTTTTCTGGAAAAGTCAATAGAGCCCTGAAGTTCATGACATGGTGCACTGTGACCACTTTGTTTTCTTTGGTGTGTTTTTGTTCGCTCGAGAAACACACACAATGCACAGAAGTTCTTGATTATTCAGCCGTTGTTGTGTTTTCATATTCTTTCTCTATCAGGCCAAACTGCCGAACTCCGAGACTGGCCTGGGCCTTTGGGGAGATCTCTGCACACGACGATTCTCCGGGGAGCAGACGGCGAAGGTTTTTGTGGCACACTTCATGCTGGAAGGTTTTGATGTAGTTACCAGCAAGTCTGGAGGAGGCCATCGCTATTCGGTTGGAGGCCATCGCTCTTGGGAAGAGTACTCCTAGTTACTTCATGCTGGAAGGTTTTGGTGTTTTCCACCTCTCGTTCTTCGTGTTAGCAGAGGTGTGTGGCGAAACCGCAAAGCAGCTTCCGAAGAGGTCCCGATCATGGTCGCGACGTGGTCGTTTTGCAATTTTTGCTCCGCTAGAAACAAGGACGCAACTACTTGCTACCACTTTAGTCAGTTTGTTTCTGGATGTGACATGTTGCAGGAAGCTCAAGAGCTTGAGAGGATTGTAGAGGAGACGACCGAGGACAACATCCGTCTCAGGACACGCTGACTCAAACGCCATTGGAACATCTACGAATATGATACTATTTACATCTATTTACAAATATTTAAACATATTTGCAACATTTGCCGGGGTCATGTCATGGAAAACAGTATAGGCATCTAAGATCAGCATCTCTTCCAAAGTTGAGGTCTGGGAAAGCCATGCTATTCTGTGTCTTTGGTTGTTATGGTGAGGAACGACATCAAGATCATGTCGGATGAGTTGCGGAAAGTCCTGCTGCGAGAAGTTGGAGAGGCCAGGACGCCAAAGGCGCCTGGAATCAAAAAAGCGCCGATTTTGCACAAATTTCTTGCAACATCTTGCAACTAATTTCCGGTTTGGTGGCGAAACCGGTCAGGACAGACCAACGGTCGACGATGAATCATCCCAGTTTCTGCTTGCACTTGCTTTGGCTCAAGTACCCGCGTGCCGCATTTTGTCGGGACAGAAAGAGCAAGGTGGACTAGGCATGTCATTAGCTGGGTTTGACAGTGCCAGCGAAGCCCAGCAGTGAAAAACTCAAGTTCATGATAGTTTCCAACTAGGAACACATTCGCAAGCGCGGCTTTTTGCCCGTACTGTTCTATTTCAAGCTCAGGCGAATGTCTCAACACCTTAGTAGCTGACCTACACACAATGTCCTAAAAAGTCTTGGTCAAGATGTTGGGCAGTTCGCAATTTTTCCTAGTTCTTCATTTCATGACATCCAACGTATCTATATATACACGCGTCTGAGCATTTGAGGATGTTGGCGGCCCGAGTACCGGCTGACATACGACAGATGAGACACCATGCAAAGACTTCCTTGAAGCGGTGGTGTTTGTTCCATCGAGTCTTCAATCGCGTTTTGGAAATGTTCACCTGATCATTGAACTGGATGCTAATGCTGGAGCTGAATGAGAGTATATGAGAGTGCTTCATGTGAAGAATGGTTTGTTGTGGCATCAGAGTAGTCTAGTGCCGCTGGAAACAACTTGATTGAAGAGATTAGTCATAGGGCTTGAAGATAACACCTGTTGCAAAATGAACGGCTTCACTGGTGCTTGGAGAGACCTGATTTCAACTGACGATTCTCCACCTCTTCAGGGCTGCATGCGCCAGCACCTACCCAGATCAAGCAGCCAGCATTCAAGAACTGTTTTGTCCTGGAACAACCCTGATAGGAAACAAGGAAGGAGCTTGCAGCCAAACAACATTACTTCATTCTTCTTTGACTCTTCATGTTATTGATTTCTTGTTCACGCTTGGTATGCCCATCCGCAAAGAGGTAGCTTTGACGGCCCCACGCTTTACCCCATTCTTATGCCCAGGCAACTTGGGCTTAGAAAAGACCGTGTCAGAAAAAATCAGAAAGGCCAAGAAGACACTTGCTGTTGGTGTAGTCATGTGTTTACATTCGACCATTTGATGTCGGTTGATAAAGGTTGCTGGGCTTGTGGGGACAAAGATGCCTCTTGGAACGGAGGAGAGACATTCTCCTTTGCATTCGCAAATAGGCGCAAGCGGCTCCAGAGCTCATTATTTGTGTTCGAACCAAGGTTTGCAGGGTTTACCACCAAATGTGATGATAAAACAGTGAGTTCGTCCATATTGTCCCTTCAACCAACCCACTAAATACTACAATCAGAAACATTTTTCCTTAGCTTCTCGCAAAGCAAGAAACTAACCTAGAATCTGGCTGCGGTGATTGCTGTAGAGAGGCTGGTTTCCTACCACAAAAGGACCTCAAATCGTTGAACGTAGACTGGCGGGATAAATGTCCATAAACAAGTTTTTATGATTCCCGAATCTAAATACTCATACTTTCTGTTTGTTGGTGAGAGCAATTTTGCTATGCAATGGCGTTATGTATCCTACTTGCTGAACTTGGTCCTGCTAGCCCTGCTGGGCTCTTCCCTTTCAGCCGACTGGGTTTATCGTTTCCCGTTTCAGCCAACCCCCTACCTGGAAAATGAGCCGAACGGCACTTCGCTGAGCGGCATTGCGGTTCAGCCACTTCAGCCAGAGCTAAAAGGCTTCGAACCAGTGGGTTTGGTGATCGTGGCAGATGGCAACTTTCGCCAGACCTACCAATGGCAAATTTCCAGCATGAGATGCTATGCGCAGAAAAATGGCTACGATTTGTGGCTGCTACATGGAGACGAATTTGAGGAGTGTGGAGAAAAGTATTATGCACCTGGAAATTTTTTCTTTCAGAAACATTGTGCAGTGGCTGCACTGCTGGAAGAACAGCCTGCAAGCTACACAGTGGCGGTGATGGATGCCGATGTGGTGGCGGTAGTCCTTGATCGGAACCTGAGCTACTGGCTGCAACATGGAGGTGATCTACAATTCTACGGCCGAATCACCGGTGCCGAAGTGGCGTCAGGCAGGCCGGTGCCGAAGTGGTTCGCCCCAGAAATCGTAGTTTTCCAATAGCGTCCTTGCTCCTAGTAGCGATGCCCTTGCTCCCAGTAGCAAGGCCAGGAGCCCCTAGTAGCGTCCTTGCTCCTAGTAGCGATGCCCTTGCTCCCAGTAGCTTCTTGTTCCTAGTAGTAAGGCCAGGAGCCCCTAGTAGCGCCCTTGCTCCTAGTAGCGATGCCCTTGCTCC